TAAATATTAATGTTATTACCACTAACTCATTGTATTTTCACTGTTTCACTAATAAAACTTCATTACTTCACTTGTTAAAACAAAAAATTAAAATGTCGTCAGCAAAATTTGCGATATTTTCATTATTTTTATAAATGTTTCAATTTACATTCTGTTTACAAAGTAAAATACTGTTACGCTCAATTCTGTTAATTAACAGCAAGTTTTGCGAATCATGTGAGGAGTGTGCTACGATTACGTGAAACGAAGTAATCGTGCTTTTTGACAAATCTTTGAAAATACACGTGAAAAGAGGATCGACACACATACACACATCTTCGTCGATTTAAATGCAGTCTTTATCATCAAGAAAAGCTGGTGTATCTACGACTAATTTGGTATCCCCGCAAAACTTGAACCGCTGTATAAGCTGACGTTAAATAAACAGCCTCAAACCGCTCGATACCTAATTAAATTTTAGCCAAGGTTATTCCTTATCGTGTGACTTCTTTAATTTTTTGCTGGAGAATATAGTACGAGCTGCCGAGGAGGATAGGGAAGTTACAATGTCCTTTAAATATTGGCCTCAAATACTGTCACTGTTGACGGTTATAACTTAGATAAGTTCATCTATCTTGGAGCCAGCATTAACACCAACAAAAATTTTAGGACTAAAATCTAACGCAGAATCATTCTTGCCAACAGTTCCTACTTTGATCTGAAACGGCAACTGAAAAGTATAGCCCTCTCTCGACGAACGAAGGCCAAACTTTATAAATCGCTTATCGTTCCCGTCCTGTTATGGTACGGTACGCATTCATGGACGATGACAACGTTTGATGAGTCAGCGTTAGTTTTCGGGAGAAAGCTTTTGCGTATGATTCATGGTCCTCTACAAGTTGGGAATGACTGATACCGCAATCGATTTTCAGAGTAAGAATACTCCAGTTTTTATAGTTTCGGATATAGTACCCACCAATGGAAACGGAGGAAGAGAGAGACTTCCCCTCCGTTGGAAAGACCAGTTAGAGAAGGACCTGGCTGTACTTGGTATACTCAATTATCATCAAGATATATGCTTTAATTAGAGAGTTTACTAAAAAGATTTTGATTTAATTAAAAAAAACGTGATAAAATTTAAATTTTAAATGATAATTCAAGGAAAGCATTTAAATGCAAGAATGAAGCTAAATCGGATTTGGGCGACTCTAACGCATGCCACGATAATTGGCATTCTAGCCTGCCAATGATCCTAAAAAGATGGAGCTTTGCAGAACAGATGGACAATTTCACATAATAAATCATAGTCAAACCTGACACCGATGACCGTGTGGAAATTTCCTTCGGTGATCGTGCCTCGATGGACCCAAGAAGTAGGTGAGCTATTTTAGCCGCCTTTTTACCTTGTACCCTTCGGTTGACAAAATGAAGCGACAAGTGACCGTCTGTACTGCGTAACACCAGACTAATCCTTGATTTCTCCTGGTAAGAGATTCAGGGGGTCATCAACAAGGCTAAAGCCTCTAAGTCCATTGGCCCTGATGGAATGAGCATGCTGATACTAAAAACAACTAGGAACTGCAGGAGCAAACTTTCTCACCAAAGTTCTAAACTCGTATCTGACCACCCTATGAACAAACTGTAAAAAGCTTTTGACATGGTCAACCATTCAGTACTATTATGGAACATTGAGATATCCTCATTACCGCCTAGGTTGAAGGGGGTAAACATGGGCTACCGTAGTGGACGTCAGGCATCAAATTTTCAAGGTCAAACATCGAAACTCATAAAGATTGTCCTCTTCTTACTGTAGTTTAACTTTGCACGAAGGAGTACAGGCTTGAAATAAAAGGGAAAGTCGATGGCGTAACAACTCGAACCATAAACAACCCAAAGATAATTGGAGTCACACTCGACAGCCTGCACTCCTTAACTGCAGCAACCTATAAAGTAATTGTCCGACCGATTCTAAATAACTCAACTTCGATTTGGACGCCATGCTTCGAGCATAATTTTTGGCGAAACTATTAAATTTTTACCAATACGAGCCCAGCACTCCTAAAAACATTTTATTAGTGTTTTACCTACCCAGCAGCTCCTAGTTCCCCGCACTGTCTGTTCCGTGTGTCAGACCATAGTGCGTCGGAACGTGACCTCAGTCAGATGCAATTTTTGCTCTGGCTGGTGTCACTTTCGGACATGCTCTGGCCTGCGCACCACCCGTGAGTGGAGCGATGCGTACGTTGCCCCATGCTGTAGGAGTCTGCCCCCGCATGTCTCTACAAACCCTCCGCCAATCAACACCAATGTGCGGAACCAACTCCCTCGGGTAGTACAGCAGCAACACACACCATCCACGCATCACTCCCTCACTCCCCGAATCACGAACGTTCCCCCGAGACAGACCCGACTTCTACAATTCAACTGCAACGGACTCCAGGGAAAGATTGACGAGATAGTCGACTATATGAGCCGGGAGCACCTGTCAATTGCTGCGATCCAGGAAACCAAGTTGACCGCCCGATCACATCTTCTGAACAGGGCCGGATACAACATAATCCGCAAGGATCGCGAGCGAGACCATGGCGGGGGCTTAGCGTTCATCCTGCACAACACCGTGCAGTATCGTCTCATCGATGGCGACATCGACCGCAGGGATACTACCCTAGAATGTCAGGGCATAGCTATCCGGTCAGGCGATGTCGAGCTCGAAATATTTAATATATACATCCCTCCAGTTACAAGTTTCACAGCTGAATACACCTCTGACATAGGTGCGCTATTCAGGGGTGAAAACCGTTTGGTTTTGGGCGACTTTAACGCGCATCACGATCTTTGGCATTCTAGCCAGTCAAATGACCGTAGAGGAATGGAGCTGGCGGAACAGATAGACGATTCGACATTCTGCACAATGAACGATAACACCCCCACCAGAGTTATGGGTAATTGCCAAAGCTCGCCAGACATAACAATTGCGAGTCCTGGTCTGATAAACAGTATAGTCTGGCGACCTATACTGACATTAGCATCGGACCACTTGCCCATACATATCTCGATTGACAGGCCTCCCGACTTTGTTTCCGCGGACCACCGGACTTTCGTTAACTTTAAAAAAGCTAACTGGCCCGGATTCACGGAATTTACCGAGAACGCCTTTAGTGCTCTTCCCACTCCAACTGACGTCATCACCGGTGAACGCTCATTCCGCAGGGTCGTCGTGACCGCTGCCGCCCGCTTCATCCCGGCAGGCCGAATTGCGGAAATCCGCCCTAATTTTCCGACAGAAGCGGCGGTACTAGCAACCAGGCGCGACACCCTTCGAAGCTCCGATCCTGGGAATCCCCTAATCAGGGATTTAAACGCGGAGATTCGACGAGTCGTAAACAGTCATAAGCGGAAAAGGTGGGAGGAGCACCTAAGGACCTGTAACCTCTCCTCTGGGGCAACCAAGCTCTGGGCCACAGTCAAGTCGCTATCTAACCCGACGAGACGCGATGACCGGGTGGAAATTTCATTCGGTGATCGCGCCTCGTCGGACCCGAAGAGATGCGCGAGCTATTTTAGCCGTCTTTTTACACTGCATCCCTCGGTAGATAAAGCGAAACGACGTGTGACCCGCCGTATGCGCAAACTGCCAAACACCAGCGCGGTGCTTGATTTCTCCAGGGAGGAGGTTCAGGGGGTCATCAAGAAGGCAAAAGCCTCCAAATCCATCGGCCCCGACGGAATAAGCATGCTGATGCTGAAACATCTTGGACCAGCGGGAGCAGAATTTCTCGCGAGGGTCCTCAATCTGTCCTTGACCACCCTGAAAATACCCGACGTGTGGAAAATGGGTAGGGTGGTCCCGCTACTAAAACCGGGGAAACCAGCCAACAAAGGAGAGTCTTATCGGCCGATAACTCTCCTCTCCCCAATAGCGAAGACACTTGAGGCCTTACTGCTCCCGACCTTCACTCACCATCTGCGTCCAGCAGCGCATCAGCATGGCTTCCGAAAAGTGCACAGCACCACAACAGCA